TAATTAAAATATTCATGTAGATCTTTAGAATGGCAGCGTTAATATATTTTTTAGGCTTTTTTTAGATATTCTCTAGTTTATTAGCTTTAAAATGAGTATAGGAATCAGGTATATTAAATCAATATTAGAAACACTAGAATTTTTTTCATAAACTTTTCGTGTTGCATTTCATCTGTGAGCCACTGTATCTCAATACTAAGTGATCAAAACCATATAAAGATTACGAATTGAAAGCTGATATTTTATGCGATTCGATCACTAGACATCGAGATATTGCATATTTTCTTACTTTCGTCGCATTATAAAATTGGTAGAAAAAATTATCTTGTCAATCATCTTTCTTAGAAGTCACATGATTCATGTACATGTATCTGCAAAGGATTAGATATCGCTTGCCTGTTGGTTATATCTTGATGACATTTTTGATCGTGCGTAATGTATTTTATCCTTTAAGGGCCTCTTCTACATCAGCAATGACTCTAGGCTTTTTTTTATTATTTTTAGTCTTTTACTATTGGTTCTTCAACAACAGCGATCCTTACCTATAACATGATTGTGGTCTCGATTGTTTAAGGCCTAGCATGGTTGTCATTTTTTCGTGAACTGCTGTTTTCAGTCATCGGTTATTAACTCAGAAAACTCGCCGCCTTGCTTCTCGCCTGCAGTACAATTAAACTCTTTGTTCTTGCTTTCCGGATCTGATAAGGTCTCGCATAATTACCTGGTACTAAGCACAAATAAATACCATAAGATCGCAAAATTCTCATAGTTCACATTTAAGAAAAAATTAGTCAATAGTTTGAAATTTATATATATTACGCCATTGGTACGATATTGCATCGCGAGTTATTAAAATTACTAGCTTTTGACACGCAAATTTTAATTTTCGCAAATTTAACAAGCAATCCTCTGTCAATAAACTCGTTCATTGGTATAGTGGAACCTAAAATGGTTTGCACAACAGAATTAGCAGAAAAAACTGAGTTAATGTCATTTGAGCACGCGTCGCGATGACAATATCTATGGAGAAAAGTTTCACTCAAATTTCCTTTAAACTTTTCAATTGCATTTTTCATAGATCGCAGAACAAAATTCTGTGTTACTTGAAGGCTTAATAATAAATCGAGAAGTTCGTTTTTCCAGTACAGCTAGTTTATAATATTATTTGAGATGTCAAAATATGGTTTAGTACCTGCGCTTCTGTTCACGAGATTTACATAAATCAGAACAATTTGTTGGCAAAATGCTCTCTTGTTTCAATAAATTTTTTACATCATAAAGGATCATCATCATGACATATTCTCGTCGATGTGCGAATGCACGATAATTGAAAGACAAATTTTTCCCAGAGTCATCTAGGCGACAAATACAAATGTTCTGCTATTAAAAAAATAAAAAATCTATACTTTTTTACTCACAAGAAACTCAAAATGTATACTATATGCAACGCTAGCAATGCTACCTCCTTTGCCATAACAAACTATAAAACTTTTCTCGAATATCCTTCTGCGCTCAAGGAAGCTAATAAAACGTATAAACAAATTGCGTACAACTTCCATAACCGAACGTTATACCCTAAAGATAATCAACTGAATAAAGAAGACTATGGAGTTTGTGTTTGTGAATACCAACCAGGTAAAATTTTCGTTAACGGACACAGCAAATGAACGGACATAGCTCTGTTGACATATTCACCTCCGCTAAATAATTTGCCAACACAATGATACCATGATTTTTCTAAGCTAAAGAAAGAAATTATCTAAACTGTGCTCGAAAATTAAAATTATCAAAATATAATGACTAGCTCGTTTATCCGCTTAGTCTTTCTCCATTGAGATTAGAAAGATTTATTCGTTTGTGGCTAATACATATAAAACTAAGCTTGAAAGAAAAATTTTTCGCTTGCTTTATTAATAAAGGCGATTCAATCGACCATGCATGTGGTTCACAATGCATTAATCGCGTGTTATTCATCGAGTGCACAAACGATTGCCTTATTGGTGATTACTGTAGGAATAGAAGGTAAACTTTTAATTTTAGAAAAAATTTGATCAATATAATTTGACATATGCTACCGATCCTCTAATTGTCTTCTGATTTTAGATTTCAGCAAGCTGAATATGCTAACATAGATGTATTTAAGACGGAGTCTAAAGGTTATGGATTACGAGCTATGAAACCCATTAAAAAGCAAATATATGCTTATCTGTTAGTCTCGAAAGTATTAGTCAAATATGGTGTTCGCCTTCTTCACTAAATCTCTAATTTCTCTTTATTCGTTTGTAGAGATTCATTCATCATCGAATATACTGGTGAAATTATTCCAAAAGATGTCTCCCATCAGCGACAGACAAACTATGCAAAAGAAGGGCTTGAGCATTCTTATTTCATGAGTTTGACAAGTGGAGAGGTAACCTTTTCAAGCTCTTTTACAATTCATTTATATTTGATACATCATCTAATTTCAAAGATTATCTCCTATCCTATCTTTATGAATAGCTTATCGACGCCACTAAGAAAGGATGCATAGCAAGATTTATAAACCATTCTTGCAACCCAAACTGTTTTATCCAGAAATGGATTGTTAATAGGAGAACGCGAATCGGAATCTTCGCTCTTCGTGATATCATATTGGGAGAAGAACTTACATTTGATTATAATATAGACAGAAAAGGGTAAGTTTTGCTCTGTTTTTCTAGAAAAATGATTCGAATTTAGGGAGTTCAATAAATCGATTCTCTGATCCATCATCACAAAATACATATAATGATCTTCAGATTGGATCACATTTGTAGATTCAAATAATGTTCTAATTACATGTAATTATCATCTTTCTTAGAATGGCCGCTCAAAAATGCTATTGTGGCGAAGCGAATTGCTGTGGATATCTTGGTGGTCAAAAAGGGTCTGATGACGAATCAGATGATGACGAAATCGTCACAATCGAAGATCCAGAAGATGTTCCCGGGTTTATAAGAACAATGATTCATACGCTACATAGTCGTAATGAAGTACTTGACATATTACATTGTCTTGAAGTATGAATAATTTTTTTATAGTTCAGCCCAATGATAGAATGTTTATTTATTAATACTCATAAATTAATTTTAAATTTTCGTTTATGATAGATCACTGATAATAATGCCATTTTCAGCAAATTTAAGCATCTTCATGGATTACTTGTTTTAAAGGCATACCTAATCGAATGGCGACAGGATGATGAGATCGTTCTGAAAGTATGTTTTTTATTATGAAGTATTATAATAATATTGATAATAATAATAATAAAATAATGATAGTAATAATAATGTATTTTCATCATTCTTTAATATTTTTTACTAGACTTTAGAAGTGTTACCAAAACTACCAATTTTGGCTCGAAATACTATAACTGACGCTAAAATTGAGATATTCAAGGAACGATCTCCACGAATGAAAGAGTTAGTCGATGCTGTAAGCATTTTTTTATAATTTATGTTAGTTTCTCTATTTGTTTACTAAAAAATTATTTTTCATTTTATAGCTCCTAGAAAAATGGGGAAGTCTGACTGTTTTATGCAGGTGCCCAAAAAAGACCGTAAGTACATTTTTTAAATAAAAACTAACTTATTTCATAACTTATGCCTTTGCACATTTGTGAACATGAAATTATCATTAGAAAGAGCAACTTGAGCAAGAACAAAAATTCCTAGAAGAAGAGGAAGCACGTAAAGCAAAAGATAACGTAACAACAACACCATCACAAATAAATTTGCCTGCACTACCTCAACCACAAAAGTCAACTTCGTCACTAACTGATCCCACCTCATCACCACAAGTTTCAGAAGGGGCGAAGGAGGAACTGGCGGCTGCAACAAGCGAGGGGGAGTTTAAGGCGAAGGTAGAAAGTTATTCGTGTTATTTATTGAATTTATTAAATTTTTTATTAGATCTTTAGAAATATTAATTCCATATATTAACTTGCCTTGTTGAAACAGCTCCAAAGGTTGGTGGTCGATCGTTGCAGCCGCTGGAAGGGGGAATTTACGGTGGCGGAATTCAAGAAACACGCCAGGAGGGTGAGAGAAAATTCGGTATTAAGTTCATTTAATATTACTATTATTAACAATTCTAACCTAGAATTATTTGTTATAAATAGCTGGCCCATCTGGTCGTGGAGAAAGAACTCCGCCGCCAGAAGGAGGGGGTGTACACCGTGACCGACTCCCTTCGGTCGCGTATCAAGAAGTTTGTTGCCGATTATATCGGCAAACTTCTTGTACACCGAGGGGAGTCCCTCGAGACTTCCTCTTTTGCTGGTCAGAAGAGAGGTCTCGAGGACCGCTCGGGGGAGGGTGGTCACAAAAAACAAAAAAATTAAAAAAATTTTATGTATTTATATATAGACTGTACCATAAAATTTTAATGTATAGCCTAATAGAATTCATCCGTAATAACAATTAGTTAAACATTGATGCGTGCTATCTTGTATGAAATTGATGTGATGTGTGCATAAGTTTGAATTTAATAAAATCGTTGAGCTACGTTTTGTCAATTCTATGTAGATCAAATTTATACATCTACATGCAGTTCCATATTAAATATAGTATTTGCTAATTTTTTCTAAATCCAAGAGGAAATAATGGAAAACAAGCGCTCACTTGGCTTCTGGTTATCCAAGTTGGTCCATTGAATAATAACATAAATCTAATATTGATATTATAAATAATTATTAATTAAAAAAATTTCTGTTAATATTAAAACATACAATACGCTTTAAACTGAGCTAAAATGTCCATTTAGATGGTGTGTATTTGTAGTTTTTAAAAAATTTCTATTATATTAAAATATAAAACATATTAAATAATTAAGCAAAAGCCCTAAATAAGTTAATATAAAATTATTGAAGAGATACGGTTTGAATAATAATAAAATAGAAATTTATCAAATTTCAAACTGTGTATCCTCTTCAATAGATCCTATATTTTAATGTAGTCTTTTATTAGATTTTTATATATGCTATACCAAATCAGGTCTAATAATTTTTATGATACTAACCTAACGAATCACTGTAAACTATGAAAAGTCAACTGAAATATGCAATATTTTTCTCAATCCTCTACTTAATATTATTATCGACTGGATTATAGTAAAGACGGTGGAATTATTTTCTAACTTGAAAACTAAACCCACATTGTTATCAAAATATATATGAGATACTAGCACTAGTTTTTTGATATTATACAGAAAAATAAACCTTAAAAATTATTTAAACGTTTGTAAGGCAAGCTACTTCGAAAGCTTTAATAATTATAATGTTATGTCAAATAATGAGTATAAAAAAATACTTCATGATAAAGTTAAAAATTTACAGATGGAGATGCAAAATAAATCATCTGAAATCAAGGAAAAGGTCACGTCTTTAGATAAAGTAAAAGACGAAAATAAAAAATTAAGAGAGGCTTTGAAGAATACAGACCAGAAATCTATTGGAAAGATTGAATTTTTCATAATGCATTTCAAATAGCCTATAAAAAATTTACAATATATATTTCTTTATATCCAGCATATTTTCGCTTAAGTTTTCAATTAAATATATTTAGCTTGATCATATATTAAGAATAGATATTTATTACTATGATATTTCTTAGTCGCATACTCCTTTTAATTCGTGTTTATTACACGTTTCAATCTCTGGAGAAACCATAAAACTTTAGTGATCTTTAGAATTTTAGATCGACCTTCATATCCTTTTGCTTCGAATTTATTATTTAGAAATGATAGTACGTGTACTAAAAAGATGGATAATCATAGATATAGTATTGATGTGATTAATATAAAAAGGCAGAATATTGGCCTTTGGACGATATGCTCTAATCAAATAAAAATAAACATTTTACCTCAAAGCTTGCGTACAAGTGGCCTTTATTTCTTTTGTACCTAACATAATTAGATAGTGGAAGAACTCCAATCACATGGAAACTTACCGTTAGTAATTCCTGTAAAAGGCTCATATGTATATAAAGGCGAGTTCTTGGCCTTCCAAAAGGAATCAAATAAAAGTAAAGATATTAACTTGTGAAATCCTTTTACTTGCGCAATATACTTTTTGTTGTTACTCACCTTAAATCTTGCGTACAAGTGGCTGTTCTTTCTTTTGTGCCTAAAATAAATTGATAGTAGACGAACTTCACTTTAAATAAACATATTCACTCTGAGCATTTTGTTTGTTGGCTGTTCAATAAAGTCCAAACTTTTTCTTTATTGTTGGTAATGAGCAGAAACTTTCGAAATTCCATTGAATTCTGCTCAGTATCCCCTTTGAACATATTACCCGTTATCATCATAAGTAGTTTTTGTAAAGACTATCAAGGAGACCTTTAGAACAATCAGAGAACTCTTCTTTTTGTAAATCATTCAGTTCAATCTCCCCACCATTGTTTTACGCTCTATTTTCTCTAGATCCAATATCTTTAGGAAGTAGTGTAACTATTATAACTAGCTTGTCTCTTGATTATACTTATAAAATACTTTAGTATTTTTGATATTTAGTATTTTCCTTTATTTTTCATTGTCATCGTTGTATTAATTCTATATATATTCTCTCTATAATATGCTGTCATTGCATCATGTTTCATGTACAAACTTTTCTTATAAAAGAATGTGCTACCAAATGTCAAAAAACAAAAAAAATTCATGAGGAACCCGGATAAAACATAATAATCCCTAACTTCAAAAAAACTTGTCGGGGAGTTTGTTCTTGGTAATCTGTCTCTTCATTTATCTGATGCACAGCACAATACCTACTGGTACATTCGAGATGGTGTTGTTGTAAAATGTTGTGACTGCAGCGTCATTATCGGCGGTCAACAACCAGGACGATTATGACAACTAAGGTGATTCTGACGGCCAGCACAACGGTTATAACGAATAATGAGCTTTATATTGGTCAAGACAAATTGTTAATAATTCAGGGTTTTTATCAAGCAACCCAGGCTGAGTGATTAACTCAACATGCAATTTTTGGTGTAATCTTGACTGACTATCGACCACGTAAAGTCTATAAAAAGTCAACATATATACTACTCTTATTGATTTCAGATTCGCAAATAATTCACCGTAGTCTTACATGATAAACCTGACATCTGATTTTATCTTGTCAAATCCAATATAAAATATGGTTTTAATTTCTCAAAAAGTTGCACGTCTTCTATACCGTATTTTTACCTGCACTTTAGACTACAGGTGAACTTTACCCTGTTCGACCAATGAGGCCTTACTATATTCAAACGAACTCTTGCTTTTGAAATATTTTCAGTAAATTTGTTCAAATTCACCATCTATACACTCATCGGTAGAAAGTCACCGGACACATTGCTAATTTAACGATTATTAAATGTGACAGTTAATACTCGATATCTTGTAAACCTACACTATTTGTTAATATATGTATATCTGAATGTGTAGCGGCATATTTTTGATTGGCTTATTATAAATATCCTTAGAAATCACCTTATATTTCTTTCAATTCTGTGTAAATTTTAGAAATATTTGTTGTTTTCAAAAGCTAGCTTTTGACATACTGCTCTATTTATATCATAAATTTTTGAATAAATGGGACCTGGTTATAGTACGGGTTAATTTGATATACTTTGATCTCTTTCTGAGAGATCCTTGGTCCTTATAACGCCAGTTTCATCCACGTTACCTGTTAATGCAAGTAAATAATCATATGCTATAAGTTATTGTTATTCAACAACGATTACTGAGATTATGTCATTTCATAAAACTATCAATCCATTTGTTATTTCATTTGAATTCCTGAAATTTAGAATATATTTCCAAATATAAAGTAATTCCTGCTAAAGTTTTTACTTTAATTTGAATTATATTACGTGTTGCAACTTTTAATTGACTTCGTAAATCTTTAATCAAATTATATATTACCTCTTTTATAATTGGATATTTGGTCATGCGCCAGCATTAAGATATTTAATGTGAGGTAAGTTGGCTTTTTTTTACGCCATTCTTGAATTTGATTTGGTTGAATAGATAACTTATCTGCTGTTCCTCGAATACTGGCATTAGGAACTTTATCAAGATATGAAAGAATAGTAAATTTTTCCCATGCAGTCCAATTTCTTTTTTTTGTGATAAATGTGAAGTTTTATTACGTGCCTTTTTAACGATATTATTTAAATTTAGAATTTAAATAAATAAATTTTATATTTATAATTAAAAAAACTTTAATATTATCTACCGAATTATGTGTCGCATAATATATTAAAGCTTTTTTAAATATTGAATGGTATTGGAATTTACAAGCTTCGTTTTATTATCCTGGGTGTATTAATATTGTTAAAGTTAGACAGAATTATGCTTTAGCACGTGCGAAATATGATTTTATTTATGTATATTATATTATAATATACCTTTTATTAAACCTACTTTATTACAAGACCCCCAATATAGAAGACCCTTCTCTTTACATTGTACCTACCCTCCCGGGTCTAAGTCAATTTACTTGGGAGTAGAATGTAAAAAACGCTGGGTGGTTTCCATTGCGTTTCACGATACTTACTCATGTTGGACGTAAGCCCAAAAATTATAATAATATTTGTGTCATGTAATTACAGAAGGAAGTTATGGATTCACAAATCGCAATGTTACTGCAGTAACGATATCGATGTCAGATGTTTAATTATTGAGGTTGCAGTAGTCTCGATGTCAATTACGATTAACCTACATGTGGCAATCTTGAATTAGCGAAATTATCAAAGAAATTGAGGATAAAATTAACTGAATTTAATGAAAGTAATTTGCATTCTATAAATAAATGAATATATCATCACTGTTTTTGTGAATTAAATAGCTAATCCAGCGATAAAAATACACGCAATAACCACAAACAATTAAAACACATGTAATACATATTCTCATTTTAAAAACTATGTACATGTATCAAAATAAGCTTTCTTTTAATAAAAAACTGCATACCGAAACATCTACATTATATGCTGTCTGCATACACCCAAATAATAAAAAACTGCACATATTGTACATGCAATAAAAGTTGCACATTTTATATCATTTCAACAAGTTCACTCATTTTATTCAATAAATTCAAAGATGGAATCAAATCATTGTTATGAATGTGAATATTGTCAAGAGGATGAATCCTGCGATGAGTGTTTAGTAAATATACTGGTCGTGAACAAAATAAGTTCTGCGTTCACTGTTTCAAATATCACAAACGAATTTATAACGATGCGAAGATATCGACAATCTAATAAAAGAATGCAACAAAATTAAATATGAATTATTCAAATTGATTTCTTTTGAAAGATTTACGAACATTGAATATCTTGCAACAGGAGGTTTTATAATGAATAAAAATAATTCTAAAAAGAAGTTTCTCTTGGCAATGAGTTAAAAAATAAGGAGGGGAACAGAAAGCCAGACGTAAAATCAGAATTGAATGATATTGCTATTTTGATGAAAAGTGTTTTTCCACGTAATAAGTTAAATATTAACCCTATTATCAATTCTAACGATGATGGGTTACGCGGTAAAGAAATGTCTTTGCAATTATCACCTGAAATTTAAAACTAGATTGCATATATATCATAATATAAATTGAAAAACTAGCCCTCTCCTTAATACGTATATTTCAATTGACTGAGTGAAACGGGGTGGTGTCTCATCGATACTGACAAGATTTTCTTCTTCGCAAAATTTACCAGAAAAAAAATTTGTCATATATATGTACACACAATTCAAGAAAAGGACATGTCGGAAAAAGATACGGTTTTCTCGATTTAATTATAGAATTCTAAATGTTACTGTACATTTATTTATGGGATCAGCATTTTGAATAATTTAGCACTATTACTATTGAATATTTATTTGTAACTGACTTTTTAGTTATTCCATAATATCTTAAACTGAGAACAATATCGTTAGTACATTAAGAGCAGCCTTAATCTATTTTAAAAATTTGATAATATTAAAAAAACAAAAAGTAAACTTTTATTTACGAAAATGACAATTCTTTGCCTCGTGTATAACTCTCGAGTAATTCGCTTTGAATCGTGTAATATTTTCCTCATAGCTTCTATTTCTCTGTTCGACCAGGTTGCTTTATAAATTGACCCAAAACCTCCTTTTCAAGATATTCAACGTTGGTAAATCTTTCAAACGGAATCTATTCATATATATTTGCCATTCTTTGATTAGGTTGTCGATATCTTGTTTGTGATATTTGATACAGCATCGCAGTCATCATTTTTTTTGATATGTGCATTTACTAAGCATAGCGGGCTTTATTATGATTGGCTAATTTTTGTAGATCATCTCGTCATAATAAAGTATTATTAAAATAATGATTTTCGGTCACAAGAATGGATTCGGGACCATGAATACGAATTCGGGAAGGGTAAGACAAAAAAAATTAGAAACTTCACGTTTTACTTTATAAATTATCAAAGTAATTTGGTAATCCGCGAAGTAATTCGGAAGTTAAATGAGAAGCACTTTATTTTACCTTTGAATAGGATGTACTTTAACGAAAAGGTTGAGATCTGTGCTTAGTAGACAATCAAGAAGCATTTACTAAAGTACCTATAGCTCCCTCAACAAGTATATCTATATTATTACAATCAGTATTTTCATCTAAAAAAAAATTTTCATCGCTAGTATCATCATTGGTCTCAGAATCCTCTTTTTGATTTGAGCTTTTTGCTTTTACTTTTTTATTCAATGATTCTAGTGTCACTTGAAAAGCCTTACAATTCTTTTCGATTCCACTTATAAGGTAATCAATACAATATTGACATCGGCTTCCTAATTTGAAGAAAAAGTATTCGAAATGATAAGCATGTTCACAAATTAGAACAACACCTACCTCACAAGAATCCACGCAGTCCTCTAAGTCACAATATCTATCATCATGTGAAATTGTGATGTATTCCAAGCCATTGGCAAGATATCTATATCGACTTGTATTTTTAGTGTTGGAAGTTCATATTTTTCTGATTTCGAATCTGCATCAGATGAAATAATTTTTGACTCACCAAGATTCCTATAAATATTCATAAAAAATTTTAGCAGAAAAAGTGCTATACATTTTTCAAGATATTCTAGCTATTTCGCAGAATATCTAATATTATGATTTTTGGCAAACATATTTGTAAAAGAATTGTTGCCATTCATCTGATTAACTATTCATGTTTCTTAAATTATTTACTTTGCCATATTTGATTCATGTATTTATCACCAGAGTGAGCTATGAAAATTTTCTATGTAATAATCATTAAAGATGTGAACTAAATCTGTAAGAATTTGAAAAATAAGATGATTAGTATTGAACTAATAAAAAATATTACTTAAAAATATTAATGGTAATTTGTTATAGTATCTTTACCGATATTGAAAAAAAATAGTTCAAACTCAAAATATTGCTTCAAGATACGCTTGCCAATTTCTATTACAAAATATGATGGGATAAAAATCTAAAACCAACGGAATAATATTATCTAGCAAATTAATAAGATATCAGACTTCAAGATCTTTAGATCATTTGAATTTCTGCAAGACTATAAAATGAATTCAGAACTAGCCTTGACATGCAATTCTAAGATTAAATTAATTCTATAAGGTTTTGGCTTTTTTGTCAGCACCTTACTATGATCAAAAACTGCATGAAAAAGTAAATCAAAAAAATAATAATTTAAAAGAAACACTATTTCATGACTATTCAAGAATACATGCAAAGATCTAATCATTGGAATAATATGTAAAACTTGCTCTGGAATTCCAGAAGAATCTCCAAATTTAATATGACGTGTTATAGCATGTCATACATGAAGTTGTCCAGAATAATCCATAGGTATTATAAACACTTGTGTTCTTATATAAGTCTTCACTTTAGGAATATTTATTAAAGACCTAAGTGCATTTACGTATTTCTTAGTTAAATAAAGAAATCCTTCTTGTAAATTGACAAGTTTTGTATTTTTTATGCTTTAATCTATTTGGTATTGTTTAATTCTATCATTATATCTATGAACTAGAAGATGTTTGACTTATTTATTATGAGTTTCTTATATAGATAAATCGGAAAATGCATTTTTTCATTCTATATAACTAAGTCATAAATTAGGAAAAAAAAGTAAGTCTGCATTCTCAATAATAATACTTGATTCAATACCACTTTTATTATGGATACTCCTTTCTTGATTGGAATTATTAAATGAAATTGAGATTATTTCTGACAAGATTTTTAAAGTATCATAATAAAATAGGTAGTATTGAATATAGTAGTTGAATCACTATGACAAGATTCATGAATATTATAAAAATCATTCACATTTAAAACAACCAAATTTTTGATCTGTTAAAAATTATATATATAGTTAATTAAAAAAAATTTAAAAAAAAATAAATTAAAAAAATTAAAATTAAAAAATTAAAATAAAAAAATAATTTAAAAAAAAATTTAAAAAAATAAAATTAAAAAATTAAAATAAAAAAATAATTTAAAAAAAATTTAATTACTTATATATATTTACATTCTCTATTAAAAATATTCTCATCATCTCCATATATATTTATATATGCTATGTCTTCTGTCTTGTAATAGTTTCACACCTTACTATTAGGTCTGTACCAGCCAAGATCTCAATTACTGATGAAGATGCACCAGATGCATCTAATAAAAGTTTTACCTTGATCTTAATACTATTTATAAATTTGTTATTAAGACCTGCAAGAAAATAGTAAAATAAAACTAATCTTTTTTTATTTTTTTCATTAGTCATATAGTTCTTAGCTTGCAAATTTATCCTGGCTACCAATTAATCAAAAAAATCTTGTAATAATAGTTCAGTATTTTTGAGTATTTTTTTGAACTCATCAGAATCAAGAATAAATTTTTCATTATATAAACACTATCTTGTATATAAGATTCCCACCATTAACTTTATCTTCTTACTCAGAGAAATTAGTTCTAAAAAAATAATAATATATAAAAAAACACAATTAAAAATATATTACAAATAAAAATTATCAATTTACCTAGCTTTATTTCATCAAGTTCTGTACATATTTCATGATACATCAATTCTAATTCCTAAAATTCCAATTCAGAATAAATGATATCATCATATAAAACATATGACCTATCTTGAAATTATTTTATACTCTCTTTTGGAATTCTTTCTTTTACCAGAGGATAATTAGGTGAATTAACATATTCTGGATCAATATTTATTTTATATAAGTAATAATGATATATTATTGCTTCCTTTAACAGATTAAAAAAACTAATCAATCATTCTGGTATCCATCCAAATTTTCCTTCTGAATCTTTTCAAGTCATAGCTAAATAAATTGCATGTTTGGAATGAGAACATAAATTGTTAGTTTGGTTTTTTTTTTTTTGTATTAATTATATACTTATTATAATATTTTTGGCACAAAGCCTTGCTAACTAAATCTAAATGTTGACTTGATGCTGGTATAATTATTTGATCAGTTACAATTAAAGTGCCATGGAGATTGTA